ATTAGTGCAGAGAAGTTCTACAGTACTAGTCTTTATAAAACCAAAAAGGGAATCCTGCACACCAATTAGGTGCATCAATGGAGGCAAGAATTGCAGAAAAGTGAAGATATGGGCTGATTTGACTTGGCACAAAGTTGTGGCAAATCCGTTCAGCTTTAAAAGACTCTGATCTGCCGGTGGTGACTAAATCCCATGAAGATCTCACCCACCTAATTACTATGGTTGGCTAATTTCAGCTTGGTGAAAGATGAGTTTGACATTGCCATGGGAGATCAACTGCTGCAGTTATTCTAATGTTACTTTTCGTTCTTGTCGTGTAAAAGATTAAGTAAAGTGCTTTTGCTGACATAATTCAGACACATAAAAGAAAAAAAAACCGAAGAATTCTATCTTCTTCGATGCGTTTCGGATGACAATTATCAGAGTTCGATGATCGATGGAGATTATAACACCATTTTCAAGAAATTAAGCTTCTTGCTACCAAGTTCCAGTCTAGGATCGAGTTTTCCTTCCCTGGCCATTGATGGCTTTCCAGCTCCTAGGCTTGCTCCAAGATTGTTTGATGTCTTGCTTAAGAAAAGCGCAATATTATGGATCTTGAAGGGGAAAAAAAAGAGTTAAAAACTAGTAATAAAAGGTGAGTTACCTTTATCAACTACTGTTGGTTCAAGTTGTTCAGCTCGACCGAATTAGTTAAGTTTCAGTAAAATTTTAGATATTAGGATTTAAATTAAAAAAATATTACCTTTTGTTATTTATTTAGGAGTGACTGAGATGTTTTTTATTTAAAAAAATATTAAAATATTTTTTTATTTTTTAAAAATTATTTTTAATATTAATACATAAAAATAACTTTAAAATATTAATTATTTTTTATATATTACATCAAAACAATTAAAAAATATAAAATAAATAACTTCAAGCAAATAAATATTAAAAAAATTCACGAATTACAGCTTCAACTGCAAAAACAACAAACATCTAGAATGATAGGATAACACATTGAGTGTAATAGGACCACCTTGCTTCCTCCAGTCAACAAGGCAAGCTTGAATGAAAGTCAATCCACAACATTGAACTTCAAACACTCCATAAGAATTATTTTCGAGATAAGAATCCGAACTTTTCTCTCTCTCTCTCATAGTTGGTTGTCTCGGATTGAATTGCTCCGATTTTTAATAACAATGCAACTATATGCATTGATAGAAACAAGAAAACAAACCATCTAGCTGGTGGACAAAGGGTAAAGACTTGGGATCAAGAGGTTTGCTTCCTCTATAGTTTCAGGTTCGAGTCCTTGGTTGCTCATATGATGGCCACTGGAGGCTTACATGGTCGTTAACTTCAGGACCCATGGGATTAGTCGTGGTGCGTGCAAGTTGGTCCGGACACCCACGTTAATCTAAAAAAAAAAAAAC